TATTTAGGTTTTTCACATGCGCGCCGCGAAGCGGCGCCGTATGTGTGCCACCGTTCTTTGAAAAAGCGCCGGAGCCGGCGACTTGTGTGTGTCCACCCCTGGACCAAGGGTTTCTTCCAACCGACTCACCTGCCACTTGTTCCACCACCGATTCACAAGCAGGGGGATCAGGGACGTTTGGCTTGGCCTGATCCAACGAAGCTCCAGCCATTCGTCAGGATATTCTCGAGGGACGCCTTGAGAACGTACCTGCAAAGTTCTTCACACGCTGTTACTCCACTCTTCCACGGTTTGTTTCATGGTTCTTCATGATACCTCCCACAAACCCACCGCCACCTTGCGACGCTTTGCAGCCGACTTTGAGTGTCAGACCGTTTTCGAATGCAGCTGCCAACAATGTTCAACAATACGGTTTTGCGGACTTATGCACTTTTCCTTTCCCTCGCCTTCCTTCCCAACGTGGTAACTGAGTCACTGAAAACCGATGTCAGAGTGTGTTGTTATTCATGACTCACCCGGGTTTCCCGATGCTCGCTGATGCTCGCCGATGCTCCAGGTGGCGGCCATCCGACAAGGCCTCATTGAGCCACGCAAGAAGGACGAGAAGTGAGCTATGTCACTGATGGTGGAGAACGGCAATGAATTCAAGGTTACAGCGAAGACTGACTAATTGAAGACTCGTTGATCTTTTGCACGATCACAAGATATCTGATCTCTTTCTTGATGCAATGCAAACGTGTTGCACCAGGTGCAAACCCGTTTATCTTTTGAAGTTTCAAGCACCCACTGGGCATGCCAGGGCATATCTCTTGCTGCTCACCGGGGGGGTCCCGGAGGATTCCGACCCTTCGAGCCCGGGGCTTGAAGCGAACCAATTCCGGTCGACTTCTTCGAAGAGACCGGCCCCTTCCGACAGGTGTGACACGCGCATGACCTGCGCCGTCGCACGTGCGACACGCTCGATGTTTGAATCGCGGAGACCAAAACCAGGGCGGGTCGTCTGGAGAACGAGGGTGGGCGGCGAAGCGTCGACGGTCGGAGAACGGAGGGGGATCCCTGTCAGGAGCTCATGGAAATATGTTGGGATGGCAACTCATGGCATCGGCCCCTATTGGTTTCTCTTTTCTATAATTCCCTAATGTGCCCATTGCCCATGTGTTCAGTGGGAATGAAGTTCCTACTGCCATCCAATCCATGCATTGATAGGTACCCTTTTGAAACAGCCAGTACGAGCCATGGTCCGTAGCCAATAAATCAAAAGGATCTGAGACTACTGCGCTAGTAGCTAAGAACGATGGTTCTTGAGTAGTTCCATGTAAGTTCCCAAGGTGCCATTGGCGCCATGTTCTGAGTTCTGTGTATGTCAAGGGACCGAACATTGGGGGGATTTTGGGGGGGTTGCCATGCCATTTCTGAATCGTCAGACCGACCGACCGCAGACTGCACAGCTCTGCACAGCGCCGTTGCTCCGCTGCACAGCTCCCAACACCTCAGACATCCTCAGACCATTTGTTCGCGCGTGCCCAGCTTTTTTGGAGTTGAGCATTGGACTTGGCCTGACTCGGCCCAACTCGGGTAGTTTGACCAAAAATCACCAGGGTAGGTTGACCATGGTTGCCCATGTCTGGTAGTCGATTCTGTTCATTCCTGGTATGGTTGACCTCCTTGGTATGGTCTCCTTCTTGGTGCAAAAGTCCCAGGAGTTGACCTCCGGTGCCATGACCCACAGCCAGTTTGAATTCATATCTTCCATGGTTCCTGAGCTTCTGAAGGCTGGATGAGGCACCTCTCTGTCTTCAAAAGCTATTGGGTTTCCGGAGTCGTTTCCGGATCCAAAAAGAAGACACCAGCAAGCAGGTCTCATCTCACCTTCCGACATGTGGTCCATCGCTGAGTCCTGCCCAGGATTGGCCCAACCTGGAAGAAGAGCAACTTCAAAGCTTTGACTTGGCTTTAGCCAGCGATGCCCCTTGGTCACTGAACTCCTTAGCCAGGAGACTCCACTCGTGCCGCTCAAGCGTCGTGTTCGATCCTCACATACCGTGCGTCGAGCTGAGTCTCGGTGTGACGGTCAGCCCCTGGTCAAACCTGCAGCAACCTGGGTTTTGCGGATTGGATCTTGTGTTTGGAGATTAGATTGTTTATTCGTGAAACATGTGGTTCCTGGAATAAACAATCGGTCATCCAAGTCATCCATCGGTCAATCCTCCATGCTTGGGAGGGCCTAACTGTTCAAGTGGTCATGAGGGGCCTAAGGAGTGCTTCTCGCAAGTCATCTAGCCTTGGCGTGAAGCTTTTTGTTGTAGCCTGCAGCTGATCCACCAAAACAGGTTCCCAGCTGGACACTTCGTGGTTTGTAGCTTAAACTATTCAGAACACATCCAGATCCTCACCTCTTCTCTACAACGCCATCACCTTCATTCTAGGTCGACCGCCCAGAAAACACCATCACTCCTGACGTGCTGACTCCGGCGTCCACCCTTGACGGCCTCCTCAAAAATACGAACCTCGAGATCTCAGCGTCCCCCTCGAGGTGGTCTACGAGCCTCACCATGCCATCCTTTTGCCGATGGTCATCTCTCGTTGGTTGAAGCCAGGCCGATGCGGACCCCCTTTGGGACGAAACGTGGGAAGCCGGACGACGGTGGACAGAGGTCGGGGGAGTGAGCGCAGCAGACGCGTGTGCGTGCACTTGAGGAGAGTGGAATCCGCGCCTTCCTACTGTTAATGGGAAGTTCAGTCAGGTTGTTTTGATGCTCCTTTTGGACGAACGCTAGGCTGGTGGTAGCCTCTCTTTGCTGGTTTTTTTCGTCAGGAAGGTTCAGGGGCTTTAAGCATTCTACAACAACATTTGAGATGAGGCATGAGGAATGTCCTTTGCATCTGCAGGAGGCTGGTGGGCTGTAGCTTTGGCCATCCGTGATGAAGAGATGTGTGCCCTGGATGATGCTTGGGAGATCTGGCCTATTGTCCGACAAGTCCAGATCATCATAGAGCATCCAATCTAGACGAGATGACGAGATGAGATTGGAGTGTCGAGTGGCTTGTGTATAAACGACAAGATATTAGCTGCAGTGGACGTGCTGAGGGTGGTTACTAAGCACTTGGAAGGTGAGACGATATTCTGAAGGCTAAAGCAAGTTCACATCATTTCACAGCATTATCGGTGTTATCGAATGGACATGGCATATACATGGCATATATATAGACCCCCAAATAGATAGAAACACACAATTTCTTCCAACCTGTATTGGGACCACAAGCGGTGTTGCCTTGGACAACCTCCAGGAGACATCACAAATAGGTTATGTTTCTGAACTGACTTTTCATGACTTTACTATGAAGGGCATTCTTTCTGGCCGCCTCAAGCTTCTACAACATCAGCCATTTTCGGAAAGAGGGATCTTTCGAGGTCTTGAAGTTCAGGCGAAATCAATAAAGTGGATTCTTAGGATCCCAAGCAAGAGTGCCAGGCTGCCATTTATCTTATATAACTTATATATTATATTGTTACTTATTGTTATGTGACACCAAACCTATGCTCACCCCAGTCACTGCAAAGATGGCCATCTCGGGAGGTGTTCCAACTTTCGGATGGATTTGACCAGACTTACGCCGAGTCGCACTCCGTTTGTTCGTTTGACATCTTTGACAGAGAATGATTGAGTTGGGGAGCTGGAGCAGAATTTCCTGCACATGGAGATCATGGAGAAGGTACAGAAACCCAAACGGAACCAAATAGCATGTACGGAAGCTATAGCAGGTGTTCCTGGAAGCAAAAACTGCAAGGAATCCAAGTATACCTTCTGAGGATGTAGATTTTCCGCCCAGCGACCCCTGGCATTCTGGTGCGTTTTTTGCTGGTTCACCGTCCGGCGCTTCTCGGCTCAGGTTGTCGATTTGTGGAGCAGTTGGACTCCTGTGGACTTTATGACCCTGAGATGCTTGGACTGATGGCGTAGGCGTAGGGGACAGGTGTGAGAATAGAGGTGATCAGGTGTGATCAAGGGAATGATAGACTCTCTGTCTCTATGTACCTCCTGTCCTGAAGGAAACTCTTGGCTCTAACTCAGGCCCTGAAGGTGTTGTTTTAATCTGTATATATAATCTGTTTGAGTTCGAGTTTGCGACATGTTGGGCATGTGCCCAGAGTTCTGGATGTTCTTTGAACACACTCCCGAGCCATAAAAATCCATGGACGCCACGTTGTGGAATGGAACCCTCTTTGTTTGACTCCTTTCCTCGGGAGCTTAAGCTGAATGGTTTTCAGCTTCCATGTGGGCTCTTCCAGGGCGTAGGCGTAGGGGCACATGTGCTTCTTGCCAGCATGGCGTGGCCGTGATGGAACGGACCACGAAAGGCCCGACCTGCCTTCAGAATTTTTTAATGATACGGCGACCACCGAGATCTACACACTGGTAATGTCACAGGAGCTTTCTGAAGCGGATGTATGACCTACAAAATATTGTGGGGAAATGGATTGTGGCCTGTGAAGCTTCCTATGCGGCTCTTCCTTGTGGACAGAGTCAAAACCTCGGCATACCGTATACCAGAAAGTTTAAATGTCTACGAAAGAGGCAATCTCTTGATTCGATCAATTTTTTGTCCAAATAGACTGAATGCGTGTGTCAATTCATAATTCACCGTTGGTACTCTCCGTGTTTTGGACCAGTGGTACTCCTGGTGGTGGCACGTTTTGTCTTAGATGAGTCTCTTTGTCACATATACTCCCTCGGGTACCCCGTTTATGTGGAAGGACCTTGAGGTGCGAACTCATTTGGGGAAATGGATTGTTTATTGTTTTTTTTTGTTTTTCTAATCGTGACTTTGGGTCTTTCGACCAAAAGATCGTATGACCGTGTATGACCCACAGTGTTGAGCCATCTTAAGCGGACCGTGCAAAAAAAAAGAGCAAGCGCTGCGCAGAGCGCCAAGCCCGCGCCTTGCTCCAATGCTATATGCCGTCACTCATGGCCCCCGTTCGCCACGAGAGACCCGAGGCACCTCTACATTCAGACCGCCTGTGTACCCGAGAGACGCTGGGCAGAGCTGCAACAGTTTGGATGATCCTCCGCCCCACCCTGGATTGCCCAGTGAGACTCCTCACGATTTTTTTAAAAGCAATCTTAAGCAATCCTTATACTTGTACCGTTGTACCCTGAGTCGGCCCATCACTAGGATGTTTTTTGCTTCGGAGCACAGAGTAGGTTTGTGAAGGTGTAAAAATATCGCTGACGCTGCGTGACTCTGCGTGACTCTGCGTGACGCTGCGTGACGCTGCGTGACGCTGCGTGACTCTGCGTGAGAGTGAGTTTTAGTGTGGGTGAGAGTGAGTGTGAGTGAGAGTGAAGGTGGGTGAGTGAGTGCGGGCGGGAGTGGGAGTGAGTGAGAGTGGGAGTGAGTGTGAGTGAGGGTGAGTGTGGGAGAGTGAGTGAGAGTGAGAGTGGGAGAATGAGAGTGAGAGCGAGTGAGTGTGAGTTCGAGTGTGAGTGTGAGTGAGTGTGGAGTGTGAGTGTGAGTGTGTGGGTGAGAGTGAGTGTGAGTGAGTGTGTGAGTGAGTGTGTGAGTGAGTGTGTGAGTGAGAGTGAGTGTGAGTGAGTGTGTGAGTGAGAGTGAGTGTGAGTGAGTGTGTGAGTGAGAGTGACAGTGAGTGTGGGTGAGAGTGAGAGTGAGAGTGTGAGTGAGAGTGAGAGTGGGAGAGTGAGAGTGAGTGAGAGTGGGAGAGTGTGAGAGTGAGAGTGGGAGAGTGAGTGAGTGTGAGAGTGAGAGCGAGTGCGAGTGCGAGTTTGAGTGTGAGTGTGAGTGAGAGTGAGTGTGAATGTGAGTGTGAGTGAAGAGTGAGTGTGAGTGTGAGTGTGTGAGTGAGTGAGAGTTGTTCTTTCTTCTCTTGCTTTGAAAGCCGTAAAGTTTGATGTAATACGTTCTGCATGCGTCTTCATGCATCTTCGTACCTCTGCATGCGTCTTCATGCGTCTTCGTACCTCTTCATGCGTCTTCATGCGTCTTCATGCGTCTTCGTACCTCTTCATGCGTCTTCATGCGTCTTCGTCGATAATTGGGACCCCTCTATCGCCAACAATGCAGTCACCGAGCCGAAAACACTGAGGATGTTGCAAGCGAGCCATGCGCGACCTCCCGAGCTCCGAGCTGACCACCAAGAGGCGTGGATGCTCAACGAACGGGACAGGAAAACACTCCGCCCGACTGCCTTGTTGTTTTGTAGTGACTCATGGGAATCAATTTCTTGTGTTGAAATCCCCAAGGTGTTGTTTTGCCCTGAAACCATCTGAAACCTGTAGTCTCTGGAGGATTCACAGAATTCACAGATGCATCTGTAAGCCACACTCGTGGGCTTGAGGGGAAGAACGGAAAAAATGGGGCGTAGATCCCAGAATCATAACGGCAATAGATAGCAGCGTTAGAGGTCCTCATGTTTGAAGATCTTGTTCCACTTGCTAACGCAACTTTTCTTCATGGATGTAGGGAGTGTCCTATCTAATTATATAATTTGGAAGACATGTGATTTCTCTTTGGATCAGCGCCACACCCACTAGTAACAAGGTGCATTGCCACTAGTAGCAAGAAGCTACTAGTAGCTAAGTGCATTACTAGTAGTAACAAGAAGCTACTATTAAAAGTGCATCCCTGTTAATAGCTAATTTACTACTACTACTACTACTACTACTACTACCACCACCACCACCACCACTACCACTACCACTACCACTACCACTACCACTACCACTACCAC